ATTATTGCGATTAAACGCAATGTTTTGCGTTTAAACGCAATAATTATTGCGTTTAAACGCAATAAAAAATATTTCTTTCTCTGAACTGGCATCAACGGGCTTCCGTACAGCTGAATTGAATTCTTATAATTAAACCCCAATTAACGGTTGCAACTTTGTATTGTGAATTGTGGTAAAACTGATATGTAATAATAATGTACAATAGAGGCAAAGCAAGAATCGAACACTTTTTTTATTAAATGTTTTTCAAGACTTTTTCTGAAAATGACGGGCCGCTAGGTCGGTAAAAAATAAAATTTGATTAGTTCATTTATGTACGAATCTATTTTTACCCCCCCCCCCCCCAAATGAATTAACAAAACTTCCTTTTTTCAACAATTTCCCTATCTAATATATATTTTTTCTTCAAAATGAAATTTCATTCTTTGTTTATTTTTTAAATTATATTGACAGTATTATCAAGTAAGTTGAAAGGCATTAATTAGGGATTCTACATAGAATCCAAAGAGCTAGGTTCACTTTATGCATAAAATGGCCCTGTCTATACACCAATTAATTGACCAAGTCCCAATGTCCCAATTCAATCATCAAATTAAATATAAAGTAGAGACTTAGTGCTTCTATTTCGTCTAAAAAGTTTCCTCTCAAAATCCAGGTAGTAAAAATTCAGGCTTTGTGAAATTGCAATGTTCTTCAATTTTGCAGAAATCAGGTGTATTTGAGTACCTACAGCAAAAAGAAAAAAGAAAAAAGAATGAAATATGAGCCCACCCCTCGGCTAGTATGTTAAGGCGGCATTTAGATCAGTATATTCGGAAAATTCACTTGTAAAATGTAACATTTATAAATCGAAAAATCATGGATTAAACATTTGCTATTATTTTCCATTGTATAGACATCAGTCAGTCTTAGGCAAAAGGAGCACTCCACTAAGACATCAACATGTGACGTCTATAATAGAAAGATATGCCTTAAAAAATCTTTTTGTAAAATTGATCGTGTAAAACATCTCTAGCGGCCATGAAATCCTACTCTCCTGTCACAGAAATGATTATTCGACACGTTCGCGTTACCTTTAACCTTTTAACCTGGTTTAACCTTTCCAAAATCTTTTACATTTTGTTCAAAAGATCGAAGAAATTTCATCAACGCACGCTTACCACACGATTCTAGCAGCACTTCAAAGGTACTTTTAGAACACAAGCTCTTGATATGGACAAAAATCATGTTTCAAAGTATGCGACACAGTGTTGAATTTTTGCATCTTTGTTGTTAAGAAACAAACAGGCTGATCGTTAATTTAAAACACTGCCTTTCTTCAGTTAAGAAGGGGAAAAACATGATATTCACGGTATATGCTTTTTACTCCCATTTCATATGTATTTATTTACTCGCTAATTAAGTTTCATTTTCACTCGACAAATATTTTATCAAATACTTCGTGTATTTATACCATCCACAGCATTAAGTTTATAATATATTTTGTTTTGCGTGTTTACATTTATATCTAGGACTTGAAATATATAAATCTATTAAGAAATCGTTATCTCAAAAATTCACGTCATATAGATTACCTTAACGTCATATTGTACATATCTGGATGTATGCTTAACGAGGTTGGATCCTGATATTTAAAGTCTTAAACTTTTTTTGTCAAGTATATTTTTAGTTTCTACACATATAGCTTAATTAAAAATCAAAACAAAAAATGGGGGTCAATATGCTTCTTTTGCCGCTACAGTACATTTAATATGACCTTTTTGCACTGAAATTTTTGTCTGAATCAAAAATCACATCTTCGACCTTTTCCCTCCAATGTTTTTATCCAAATAAATCATGGGACAAAATAAACTATTAGCCTATTTGAAAAAAGACACATTAAAATTGTGACTAAGAAAAAGTTTCAAATTGCTTCGCATAATCAATTATTTGACCTTTCTGCACTCAGAAAATGTGATTTTTCTGGCATTAAAAATTTAACAAGCAGGAAAATTATTTTAAAGTCTTAAACTTTTGCTGAATTTTAGCAGGTTGATCAAAGTTATCTTATATATTCAGAAAAGAAAAACAAAAGTGGGGGTCTATGATGTAAATTTTTAGATATTACTAAAAAAAGGTTTAATTTTATGTTAAAATTGGCTCAATTTTTTCCTGGACTTTCAGAATATATTTACTATATTTGTCACAATATAATGAAAGAATTCATAAGAAATAATTAAATAGATATTTCAGAACCAGAATAAAACATTTCAGTGCAAAAAACAGCTCTGTGTGCAACCAGCATGGAAAAATAGGAATTTAAACTTAACAGTACTGTATATACTTTAAAAGAGAAAAATTGATCATTTTCTTCTAAAAAACCTTCGCCACAAAATATAGTTCCTGGCTTAATCCTATTTGAATGGAATTTAATCACGTTTTTTTCATTGGATATAGTTTAATTTGCATTGTAGAATCCAAATTTAATGTTAGAACTTAAAAATGATGCAGAATTTTAGAAATAAAGGTCCAGACCAAAATCTGCTCAAAGGCTCAGGATCGAACCTCCTTAAAATACCCGCCTCCATCCAAAATAATTGGCTTGTATTCTTGATACTCAATTCAATTCATTAGTTTATTTACCAATTAAGGGCCCTCATGGGGCAAAAAGAAAGTATACATTGTAAATTAACATTTATATAGTCATATATATGTAATACAATATACACACATGTTAAATTATTTTTTATAAATATACAGTGTTTTATTTAGAAATACTTCGTTTTCCACAATGATAACAAACACTATAGCGTGCACTAAATTTTAACCGATAAAATCAGGGTCTAAAAAGTGATCACGCTACTTATACTTAGGTTGGTAACTCCTCCCTCAGAAAAGTTTCAATTTTCATGTTTACATGTAAGTTAAAAAAAATCCCCGTTTTTTTTTTCTTTTATTTTCAAATTCGTGAAGATTTTGGTAGGCCGGTCTTAAAAAACAACTAATAAAAATTGGTCATTAAGAAATGATTTTAAAAAATTGATTCCATCTAAAAAAAACTGGAAAATACACCATTTGGAGCCTTTTTTTAATTTCACGGGGTAGGCCTTCTGAACCCCACCTCAAAAACCTCTCCCTTCGGGCATCAACCTCTCTTCAATCATGAATTTCTCGATCCCAGTGGCGGATTCATGGGGGTTGAGGAGGGGTCCCCCCCCCGCTCTATTATTTTCTACAAGTGTCATTTTAACAACTTATTGCATAAATGAGATTGATAAATGAGACCCATTGTTTTATATAAATATATACGGCCAGCACAAAGGGTGGCATGGTCCGTGCTGCTAGCGATGATAAAATGTCATCAACAAACAACCCACAGTTTGTTTTTGGTATTGCTTTAAAGTAATATTCTTGCAAAGTTAACACTTTTTCTGATAATAGTTTTTAATTTCATTGGACAACATGAATAAATTAAGGACCCTCTATACACCAGTGTAAAATGTTTTTTGGACATTGAGAAAATTATATTGTATATAGGTGTAAATTTTGAGCTTATCTATATAAATTCCAATATATGGTACGTGGCATTTACCCCCAAGAAAAAATGTTCAAAGACAACAAAATATCAATGAACAGAAATCACTGTTCTTTACTTCAATGGATACAATATATGCAAATGAAGTGTTCAGTTTATTTATCTTGGCCTTTTAAAATGTTAAGAATGCTTGAATTGATTACAAATTGAGAAATACACGGTAGATTTCGATTTATTTGAATTTAAATCTAAGGGCAGATCACTCTAACTGCAGAAAAATACCACAGAATCAGAACTCTTGTGTGCAGTGTAGAGAGGGTTCTTAACTATGATTTTTTTTTTTTAATTGAATTGAACTTTTACAATTGTAAAGCCAATCTAAATTTGAAAATATTGTATTACACTGTAAGTTAGGTTTATCGTAGTGACCTTTACCAAAGGATAAAGTTTAAAGGGACGACCATTTGACATTGGAAGTGGGGGCAACGATTTTGGAGTCTTTTTTTTTTTTTATTTTCTTGCCAGTCGAGGACAGAGTATTTCTTTTCAACATTTTTGAGGACACATGCATTATTTATTTCCAAAATCTGCCCCGCAGCCCCGAATCAAATGGTCGTCCCCATAACATGCTAAAGTTGTTGTTGTTGTTTTTTTTTAATAACATGCATTGGATAAATTCTCTATTGAGAAGTTGATGGCTCGTTTTAATACTCCCCCTCAGGGAGTATTAAAACGAGTCATCAACTTCTCAATGGAGAATAGCATTGAATAGTGTTCCTTGTATAGATGGAAGTTACAATGTAATAATTAAACTTGTTGATTTAAGCAAAAGTTCTACAAATATTTTAAAAAAAGTTACTATTGAAACTTAGTGAACGATTACAACTTTGTATAATGAATTTTGGTAATTTTTAACTATTTCGTTTGTCCACTAGAAGCCCTTTAATTTCAAAGCAAGAAAAAAAACTAACAGGTTCAATTTAAAATGCCATTTTTGAATAAAATTTTCTCGAGGGAGGCCCCGAACCCCCCCCCCCCCACTGAACATCCCCTCCAATATCCTCCCCCTCGGGCCTCAACCTCCCGCCCCCACACACACGAATTTCTGGATCCTCCATTGGATCAGCTACTGCTCAAGGATACTGGAATTGAATAACTCTTCGCTGTCTGATAGTACTTTTTTTTTATTCTGATTCCTTATTGAAAACCGCCTTCACGCTAGTGCTGCACATATTTTTTTTTTTTTTTTTTTTTTTTTTTTTTTGTTTGTTTTGTTTTGTTTCTGCACACGTGGAGTTTCTTATTTCCTAATATTTGACTCTTTTTGGCACTTAAATATTGACAAATTTACAAACAAAAAATGTATTTCCTGCGCTTTGTCGTGGGGGCAAATATTGGATTAATCTCGGTGAAGATTCGGCTCGACCGAGATTAAAATTGGATCCGCCACGTAAAAGTGAAGGAAATACGAAACTGCGCATTGTGTCTAGCTTTACAGTAGCGGTATTCGCCATTTTAAGAGTTTGGAGAAAGAAAAATTTTGACCAAACAGCCGATCTTGATATGACTGGGTTACCGAGAAGAATTATAAAGGTTGAATTTTAATAACAAAAATATTTAATATTTTTTAATTAGAGACTGTCAATATAATTAGTGATTCCTGGCTTTTATCAAATGTTTAGTGTCAAATGTTAACCGATTCGTAACACGAGTTATCGGGAAAACATTGGGAATGGATCAGACTCTATGTCTGTTTTTGCAAAAAGGGACGGGGAATGTTCTGTATAAGCTTAATTCTTTTAAGCCTACTATTTATAAGTGAGCAATAGATAATCTGGACATTACGTGTCGTATCAAACCTTTTACGTGTTATACAGTTGTTGCTTGATGCTGCTGATGCTCACATATATAAGTAGTAGCATCTTGGTAAACAAATATGTATGATATTTAAGAACAGAAGGAAATAGCACAGTTCTGACAGAACTAGACATAGAACTACTGAAAGTCTTTAGAGAGCAGAAATTTGGCAGGGTTTTACTTGCAACCAATCCCTCTAGGCTTTCCATAGATAGAACATTCTATCATTAAAATGATATTGTCCTACGGACTCGGTTTAACGATAGAATTCGTTCCGTGTATTGGCAATGTTGTAAAATAAACACGGGCGATAACTCAAACTCTGTGCATTTTCTATGAACAATCCAGAGAGTTCCGAATGTAACATGGTGTTAAATTTGAAGCGAGGAAAAAACGTTGAGAAAATGAGTTGAATTTTTGTATTTATATGGATTATTTTTTAGGTTAAAAGGCATATACAATCTCAAAAAGGTTTGTTATGATTAATTTGGTAGTTATTTTCAGTGCAACTCCTTTTGTATTCTTCACAATCATTTCGAAGTGGATCCACTCCGATTTGCTACATTGCAAGTATATGGACATATTCTAACTGTGGTGGGGGCTTGTCCCAATTAGACACAGTTAGATTATTCTAACTAGGCTTTCCATACATACCTGGGAATATCTAAGAGAAGAACTTCCTAATTTTGGTCAAAATGCTCCCCAGATATAATATCAAACTGCCCCAAATATTGGTCAAAGCACCCCAATAACCTCATATATTGATCTGAAATATGTTTTGTCTGTGAGGAGAGTTCATTCTTGCTGGTGGCCAGATTATGATAATTGATAGAGTACCCCTTTTACAGGCTGTCCACAGATTTGAATTTACAATTTTCTCAAATTTTCAGTATATTATCATGACTTGTATGTTGCGATAGCATTTCACGTGGACATATAATAAAAGCATGTTCAGAAACTTCTTTTATCTGGCATTTATTGAAACTACGAATTGTTCGATTGACACATCCTTGGACTTTCACAAAGTAAACTTCAACCTTAATACTTAAAAAAAGTAGCAATTTTGTTGTGTATTAATGAAAAATATTAAAACTATAATCAAGAAATTTCAGAGTAGAAATGTGAGAAAGCAAAACCAACTCACCAGTATTGTCAGTCCATACTTAGTGATGTGTGCAGAGTTTAACAAATTGAACACACCCGGTGAAATGTAAACGCTAACAATAACAGAACTCATGCCCTGTTTACAAAAAGTTAAACAGATGTTTGACTTGATGTAAAGAAGAATGTTGTTGTCATTGAATTCTAAGAATATTCATGGAATTTCAATTCATTTAAGTGCTTTTATTTTTTGAATAAGCATAGAAACTTAAAATGTAAACATTGCAACTTTGTCCAGGCACCTTTAAAAGGTTGTACCCCTTTTCTTTTCCATCAGCTGTATTAAGCATTTTATCACATGTTTACTTATACGGTTGATATAGGTTATATGATATTGTTTTCAAATCAGCAGTTGTGATATCGGGATGGTTTTTGTGTGAAAGTGACGAAGTCAAAAAAAGTGGATTCATACGTGAAAACAGTGTAAAACGTGATAAAAAGAATCTCCCATGAGTTGTGGTTGGATATGATTTGTTTTTAACTTGTGTGTTTTCTATCCCAGATGCGAGGGGATAGAAACATGAGTTGGAAATTATCATATCCATCCAGAAACCACCGGAGATCCCATATCAACATTTTAGACCATTTAGGCATTAGAGCTTCATGAATTATGATTATAGAAATAAAAGAGTTATAATGTAGTTCTAAGGATCTGTTATAATTGATCTATTTTTTGACATGAATAAGTGCCATTAACATGATTAAGAAGGTAATTCTGCTGAGGTCTTCCCATTTTACAAGTGCATATATTTTGTTTTTATGACAATTATAAAGCTTAGAAATACTGACTGGGGGATATTTATTTATTTTTTGTTCCCAATGAGTGATATCCATGCAGTAGACAAAAGGGGTATACTTGTGATAAACAAGGATAGGTTAGGTTTTAAACATGATAAAAGCTCTTTTCATTGACAAGACTTGGTTATTGATATCAATATTTTGTTTATAGTTCAAATGGTCCTATTCTCTGTTATTTCCATATTTATAATTTCTAAATATAACAAGAGGAAGGATATAGTGGATTCATAGTCAAGGTTGATCTTGGGAAGAGGAAGTTGCTAGAAAAAGATATGTAGTCATTGTAGCAGTTAAGCATTCCCATTTCAAAACAGGTACTTCTACGTGTGTAGACATAAATGTGAGTGACAATCCGTGAAAATTGGTAAAGATGAGTTTTAAGAGCATAAGTTACACAGTCATTTAATTTAAATTTCTTCAAAAATGTGTCATTTCATTTGTTACTCTTATTGTTCATGTTGTTATTAGGCTTAACAAGAAGTGTTTTATTTGAAATATTGCTAACAGGGGTGAATGCAGGGTTTCTGGGTGTTGGGGGGATGGGATGAGTTGGAAAAGGGGGAAGGTGCAAGATATATTTTGTAAATTGGCAAAGAAATAAACAGATGATCACTTTATCATGTTTATATATGCCTTGTCATAAGGGTAATACTGTGAGTTAAATTTATTTCTTATGTGACACTGTTGACTACATATATGTTTAAAAAATACTCATAATTTGGCAAATTTGCTGAAGCAAAGAGGCTGAAGCTGACAGATACACATTGCTTAACTCTTATAATGATTATCAATTTTCATTTTCTCAGGAAACACAACGGTTGCTACAAGAACCAGTACCGGGAATTCAGGCAATGCCAGATGAAAGTAATGCCAGATATTTCCATGTAATAGTAGCTGGTCCTGCAGAGGTAGGCATTTCCATGTTATAGTAGATTGTCCTTCAGAGGTAGGCATTTACAATTAGTAGTAGCTGGTCCTGCAGAGATAGGCATTTCAATTTAATAGTAGCTGGCCTGCAGATGTAGGCATTTTAATCTAATCTAAAAGTAGCTGGTCCTGCAAAGGTAAGCATTTTCATTTAGTAGTATCTTGTCCTGCAGAGGTAGGCATTTCCATGTAATAGTATCTTGTCCTGCAGAGGTAGGCATTTCCATGTAATAGTATCTGGTCCTGCAGAGGTAGGCATTTTCATGTATTAGTAGCTGGTCCTGCAGAAATAGGCTTATCATTTTGTTTATTATAGAGGAGATCTACACATAGAAATACCTCCCATAAACTCCCTCTAACTTGTGTCTACAATCAGTTCAACAAGCAGATTTATAATTAAAATCAGTATTGTGTATATTTACTTCAAAATAGTCATTCAACAGACATATACATGTATTTAAGTGTTGCAGCTTTTTACATTCATTGAGTTCTTATCTTTAACCAAGACACATGTATAAGATGTTCTTCTGCTGTCAATTAATGTGTATATTCTGTGATATTTCTTTTGCAGTCTCCATATGAAGGAGGAACATTTAAATTAGAACTTTTTTTACCAGAAGAATACCCAATGTCTGCACCTAAAGTCCGCTTTATGACAAAAATTTATCATCCTAATATTGATAAATTGGGTAGAATATGTTTAGATATTTTAAAAGGTAGGGAAGCTGTGAGTATAAAGTCTCTTGTTTCAGAATAAGATTTAGCATTCATAAAAAATCAACCTTTCAGAGATTTTTTTTTTAAGTTTCCTTCAGAATTAAGAATAAGGACAGTGTTTAATATTTTTGTTATTTTATCACTATGAAATATATAGATTGATTAGGGTTGTAGGAGTTATCTTTCTTGTTTTAGATAAATGGAGTCCAGCCCTACAAATAAGAACAGTCCTCCTTTCTATCCAGGCTTTACTTAGTGCCCCTAATCCAGACGACCCTCTAGCTAATGATGTAGCCGAGCAGTGGAAAGTTAACGAATCACAAGCAATACAAACAGGTACTCTTAATGTATGGAATTATTTCTGCATAAAAGTTGAGCCTCCATAATACAATCACAGATAATCTGGATGCTCTACCTTCCAGATGAAAGGGAGGAGAACATTATATATATATATATATATATATATATATATATATATATATATATATATATATATCTACAAATTATAAAATGTATGTTACAGTAATCTGGATGGTTCAGTTTTCCTTACTGATTTATGGGAACATTAGTATTTGGATTAAAAGTCTTGACTGTAGAAGTTCCCATACCGGGGTGATTAAATGTAATAATATTCATTATATCTTTATCCTTAGTAAGTGACCTTGATGAATTTAAGAATTGCACATTTCATGATGAACAAGTGTAAGACTGTAGCTGTCAAGGTCATTCTTAAAGATTAATTATCAGAATTTGCCACCGCCAAACTCTAAGTGGTTGTGCAACCTGCATTGTGTAGCACAAACAAATATTACATCATTGTGGTACAAATGTTACATATGTGTTTCATTAAAGGCTGAAATGAATCCTTTGTATATATTCCTTTCATTCATTCCAAAGCAAGTAAAGGCCCCGTGGTGACCAAACTTCCATTGATACCGGATAATTATAGATACACACAACATAACTTGCTTAAAAATTTTAATATGCTGGATCTGCCCTGCATTTATTGAAGCAGGGACAATACCAAGTAAATATAAGCTCTATGCATAATTATGGTGACCAAACTTGCACAGATGATTGATCTAAATTTACATACTACATACTTACTTCAGATACTGTATCTGACCTGCAAGGAACTAGAAGCCCTATTGTGACTGAACTTGCATGGATAATGCTGGTAACTGGAGATGAACAGTACTAGATATGCTTTGGAAGCTTGATCTGTTCTACATTTATATGGTGATTGAACAGTTAGATATTTTGAAGAGATTCATTTTGAAGTATCTACCTGGACTATTTTGACTTTACTTGTATAGATGATGTATTTAGGGATATACACTGCCAGAACATTTGTTTGGTTTGGGACTTAGTGTTTCTATAGCATTAAGGTGAGATTTTGTAATCTTTGATTAGGCCATCATTAAAAATATCTTTGTTTCCCCTAACCCGACCCAAAAATTTCAAGTTGGGTCGGGAGGTAGGTAAATTATTTTTTTTTTCTGACAGCAGTTTTGGAAATACATTCTGAAAAATTGAATAATATCTTTATAATAAGAAAGAACAAAAGAAACCAATTTTTAAACCGAACATCATACAAATGAAGCAACATGTATGGTAAATTTATCATGTTTATTCACAAATATTATTCATTTGAACTTGTGAAATATCTCAGGCAAGCGTAAATTTATTGAAATCGAATATTTACAAAAACACAAGATTCGCAAATACTGAACCATCGGACATTTTTCAAACCTTCTATGATCTTCCAGTACTTACAAAATGTCAAGGGCCTCGCGTGGCGCAGTAATTCTAGTCTTGCGTTTTGGAGTCACGACGTAATTCAGGAGCTTATTCTAAGTCACGGGTCCCTATGTGGGACGTGGAGACCGGTCAGTCGAATAAGACCGTAAAAACGTAGGTCCAGTGTCGGAGTATACATGTAGATGGCACGTAAAAGATCCTCTACTGATGCTTAATGATCAATGGCCATAAGTGCCGAGTAAAAATCTAAATTAGGAGCCCTCCTACGGCCCAACAATTTTAAAGGTATTTGAAAGCAAAGAAACAACCTGTTTTCAAGGGCCTAACTAAAGAAAAATAAACTGGACATCTCAGGAAGCCGTACCATGAGCAAATTTTAAAGATTTCAACACTATCTGGAAATAGTGTACATGTATAAACAGTATATAATTCAACCAAACCATATCTAAAATGATTAAAGTTTCATATATCTAATTTTATAGTCACAGAGTTAATACCCCATAGATAAAAGGAATTAAGAAACGACATCTGAATTATATTTATCAAGATAAAATAATCATACAAAGACATATTTACAACTCCTATGGTCCTATATAGCAAAAATAGGATCATACATGAACTGTTTCTTAGATCGAAACGAATCAAATGCAGTGAAATTTATTGATATGTATTCACAAGGAGCGCCCCTCATCTGCTCATGAGGCAGGCTTTGCTATGCGTATTACGTACGTTAATTTTAGAAAACACATTTGTAAATACCATCCTATCACTCCTTAGTCATGGTACATTAATTCACGAGATGTCTCAAGAGTGTAGGATTCTAATAAGTTAAAGATATGTAATAAGATTGATACGTCACCATTGTTTTATAACACGAACTAACCCTCTGTGGCCAGATGTTGTGGACACCAAATGAGAGTAAAACAAAAGTCGCCGTTCTGATATAAAACGGATTTTGATGAAATTGTAGAAAATAAAAAAAAATTATTTAAATAATCTTATTAAAAAAACTTTTCAGTCGGCACGATTTAAGTGGGTCGGTCGCATTAGGGGAAACAAAGGTATTTTTTATTTTGGCCTTAACTTTATTTTCATTTTTCAGCTAAAGCATGGACAAAACTTTATGCTTCTCTAGATCGAGAATGACAACACTGTTTAGAGACTGAAATTAACACATAATCAACAAAACATGTAAACATCATCAAACAAAGACAACATGGATGTTGATTTTCCTTGGTTTCCATAGTAACAGCTTTACTTTACAAGTGCTGTTAAGTGATATTTTCCCCCTGTTTCTGCATTAAGTGTACAAGTTTTGAATGGATGTTGACTTCAATGCATAATGCACATCACTGTTCTCAGTATTATTTCCTTGCAAGATATTTCAAATTCAGAAAGAGTTAAAGAGTTAATCTTATATAAATAGTATGTTACATGTACATGTACCTTTGTTAAGTTCCTTAAAAGAAAATTACAAATTGCTTTTCTTATATGAAGGGTGCAATTAAGTTTTGACTGATATAGTATTGTGATACATTTGATTTTGCATCAGTTTAGTTTTGAATTTTTCTAGTTGAGGAGAATTATAAACTCATGTAAGGAAAAAAAAATAGAGAGATAATTTAATGCCTCATTATGTAGTACAATGGATGAGCTAGGCATTAAGGGTTAAGGATTTTTAAAAAATCGTTCATTTCACATTCTCTGACATAACTTAATTTAAGTAATTTAAAATCTAATTATGTCAATTAACAATTTTTTGCCAATTCTGAATGATAAAGTAATTTTGCTTTGTGTATTTCTAGCTTTTATGTTTATATTTCTTTTCTTTGTAATTATTATTACTTCTATTATTATTTTGAATGTGTCAACCAATAAATCAAAGTAAGGTCTACAAGTGCTTATATTCTGATAACTATAGATAGTGCTATGTTAAATGTCTCATCAGTGACTGTAGAAAACACCCTCTCTTTAAGTTAAGTATAGTTTAGAGAGTGTTAGAAAATATGTATTTTGAAAAAGAATTAAAAAAAAAAACAAATAGTTGAAATCTATTGTACAACTAGAGAGCAAGGATTTTGTTATGAGCAGACCAGGTATCTACTTCTCACCTGCTGGTATGTAGGCCAAGATTAAAATGATTGTTTAAGAGGATCTGTAACTTATTGAATGTAAACTCATGTGTCATTACAATTTTAATAAACTTTCATTTGTAAATGACGTGTTTTTGGATAAATTTGTTACATTATAAAACATTGACTTGATACAATGAAAAGGCAACCTACATGTCAGATTGTCACTGAGAAATGGTTGTAATGAATGAATGGTTCATGTCAGTAATATCAAAATAGCAGTATTAACATGCTGAGACTCAATTGTAATCGACCTAACACTGTATAGTTGAGCTCACCGGAGCCAGAGACTCCAGCTTGTTTAATCACTTTACCTTTAGATTGTTATCTGTCATTAATATTTTTAATTAATCTGTAAAAATACTGGTTACTTTAACTAAACAAAATTTTACTTGCTTAAATGCAAATATTTTTGGAAAATACAATGAGGCTTGCCATCCACAGGCTCTAGTAGGCTGCCATCCACAGGCTCTAGTAGGCTTGCTTTGACAGGCTCTCATAGTCTCCCTTCTAAAGACTGAAGTAGGTTTCCTTCCACAGGCTCTAGTAGGCTTCCACAGGCTGTAATAGGTTTCCTTCCACATGCTCTAGTAAGTTTCCTTCCACAGGCTCTAGTAGACTTCCTTCCACAAACTCTAGTAGGCTTGCTCCCACTGGCTGTAGTAGGTTTCCTTCTGCATGCTTAGTAAGGCTGTAGTAGGCTTCCTTCCACAGGCTGTAGTAGGTTTCCTTCCACAGGCTGTAGTAGGTTTCCTTCCACAGGCTCTATTTAGCGTCCTTCCACAGGCTGTAGTAGGTTTCCTTCCACAGGCTCTATTTAGTGTCCTTCCACAGGCTCTATTTAGCGTCCTTCCACAGGCTGTAGTAGGTTTCCTTCCACAGGCTCTATTTAGCGTCCCTCCACAGGCTGTAGTAGGTTTCCTTCCACAGGCTCTATTTAGCGTCCTTCCACAGGCTGTAGTAGGTTTCCTTCCACAGGCTCTATTTAGCGTCCCTCCACAGGCTGTAGTAGGTTTCCTTCCACAGGCTCTATTTAGCGTCCTTCCACAGGCTGTAGTAGGTTTCCTTCCACAGGCTCTGTTTAGCGTCCTTCCACAGGCTGTAGTAGGTTTCCTTCCACAGGCTGTAGTAGGTTTCCTTCCACAGGCTGTACTAGGTTTCCTTCCACATGCTTATTAAGGCTGTAGTAGGTTTCCTTCGACAAGTGTCCTTCCACAGGCTGTAGTAGGCTTCCATCCACAGGCTCTAGTAGGCTTCCTTCCACGGGGTTTAGTAGGCTTGCCTGCCACAGGATCAAGTAGGCCTCCTTGCATGCCTTGTGTAAACGTTTCACATATGCTTCTTAACACTTGGGTAAATTTAAGTTCACCCCAAAATGCTAAGGATTGAGCATCAATGTATGAAGAGGATTTAAAGAATGAGGGCGCACAAGGCGAGGATAACCCCTGTTCTCAGATCATACTAGCTAGTATATCTTAGTTCATGGAAAGTAACAACTTTTAAAAATAATGTCTGTAATGTCATTTTTAAACACATTTCATTTATTTATTTTATTGAATTATTTACTAATTGTTCATTTGTTTTTAAGTTGACAGTTGAGCATATTAAGTTGATAACGAGTCTATTTGAGCTGTGAAAAAACGAGTTTTGAATTTGAATGGGTCGTTTCCTTTCTACAAAATTTTTTAATGAAAGTAAAATTTATGTTTCAAAAAATGGAGTTTGAACCATTTTATATGAAAATCAAACACTTCTGAAAAAATTATATTCTTCAACAAACTCGTTTATTTAAACCACACTGACACACTCCAAAGATTACAACAAGACTGCGTAGTATAGTGGTTAACGTATTTATCATTACGCCGTACTGCAACCTTCGGAGAGAATTCGAATCATTTATAAGACTTTCTTTTCACATAGCTTAAAGAACATAACTAAAAAATCATTAATTTATCAATATGTAATTCAATAAAATAAAGGAATCAAAAGTTAAAGATGATACTGACATGACGATTTTGAAACATAAAACTTTTCTATGAACTTTTAAATTGAGAAATATCTTGTCTCAGATCGTGGGATTGTCCTCGTCTTGTACGGCTTCACTCTTTATTAAAATAAAAGTCTAACCTTTCTAGAGAGAAAGTGTGGCGTACGTGAGTTAAAGTCTTTATAAAGACTCCCAACGTCAGGAGTCATCACGTTGCCATTGAAGCCCTGACAAATTTCATTCGATATCTTGTGGGCTGACTGCAGCAACGTCTTTTGGGAAAATTACAAATCTTGATTGTTTTTCTTATCTCCATGCAGCTCATAAATCACAAAAGCCTTTCGGTGATAAACAATGCGTAGCACGTGCATTTTAGTTGGTAACTGATTCCTTTCTGTTTATATTGTCTGTCTACTTTAATTTGATTGGTGCATCTCAATGAGAGAAGCAAGCCCAAAGATATCGAATGAAATTTGTCACGGGTCCAACGGCAACATGTTAACGCAGGATTCCTGACGCTGTGAGGATGTGCATTCACTTGTATTCGGTACGCAAGAGCATTTCTGAGAAATGTCAATTTTAGAACCGAGGCAGAGTACTGACAAAAAATGATGTTGCAAGGCTTTCAACAATTTCGTTTAAAGTCAGCATTTCGAAAATTTTATGTTTGTTATGATAATCCCCTTTACAAATACAACCTATTATTGAGTATTTTTAGGCCAATTCACTAAAGGTCACTCCGTTTACCTGATCAATACAGAGGCCTCACGGCGGGTGTGACCTGTACACAGGGGTTGCTTACTCCTCCTAGGCACCTGATCCCACTGGTGTTTCCAGAGGTCGGTGTTCTTGCCCTATTCACGATTCTTTTTGTTTACTGGATTTATGAGATGATAGCTATTTGTTATCTTCACCTTTTTTCATGCACCCGTTTTTAAAATAATATGATTCTTTGTTACTGGAGCCTTGCTTAATTGTTAATCAGTATTCTTTAGTTTATTTTGAGGGAATTGTTTAGCAGTCCCTGAACCTAACAGTCTGATCATGAATCCTGAGATAATACCAGGTAAAACCTAGCAAAATACGATTCACCCTATAGCTTTATACATATGTTGCAGAATTTTTACTATCAAAATATTACAAACACAACTGGAAATGTTCAAATACATGTCACTTATAATGTTTATGGATATAGGCCACCTGATTCATATTGTTGTATGTGCCCGCTGTGATGCATCACGCGTTATAAATTTATATTAACTTTTTGATGACTTTGTTCTTGGAATTTGGTTTGTATCAAACTATGTAAGAGTAGAGAGAGACGATAAATTAATAAATCAATAGTTTATGTCTGTTGTAAAACATTTATTTAGTAAAAGGTAATAATGAAGATTTCAGACTTTTAGAAATGTAAAACAAGAGATCACTGATGTAAACATACATTTTTTATATGTGCAGTTGGATGAACAACCACAATGTAATTATTAAATTATAAATGAATACGGAATGTCATTACCTCGGAGGGCAATAAATATCGCTATAAAAATATATCAAATCATTATTTTATCATTGTTAACACGCAGGCAAAGGGCACAAGTAATAAAAAATATATTTGGCAAAAATGAAAAATATTAAAATCCTTTATTCACACACACGCGCGCGTGCGAAATCCCGTTCCCTTTGGCGCAGATTTTGATACTGTAATCAGCAGATATTATATAGATTTGTGAAAATCATTGAACACGATTTGTAACATACATATGTAATACACGACAGATACCAATGTATTCATTATATAAAATCATTGAACACGATTAATAACATATCGTACACGACAGATATCAATGTATTCAAAAATTGAAAGGAAGTAAGTTAATTCATTGTTGATCATAGGTTCTTTTGAAGTTTATTAACATGATTAAGTTTCCCTTTTTTTTGTTTTAAAATCACTGACGAGGTGTGATGTTTTTGCAAAGCAGGATTTGCATGGTGCTCATTCACATTTTCTCGTAATTAGCTGCTGTCTGAAATTTCACGTACACTTCGTTTCTTTCAGCTTTCTTCTGGAACCGTAAATAGGATTAGACCACATCTGAATTTTGTAATCAGGCAAATTCTGTAATTCTATGGAGCTCATGGATTTCACAAGTCTAGACGATTCCTTGTCATGTTGTAACGTCACTGACTGTCGATCCGTTGCACTTTCCTTTGACGTTTTTCGAGGCGGATGACTTCGGCGTGGGTGGTGCGACAACATCTCTGAATTCTTCTCTGTGATAGAGTCCGAATCAGAGGACTCATGAAATGTCCTGTCGTCCGAGTCGGTTGACAAACACGTGGTAATGTTTTCTCTAGAATCCGTCACATCGTTATTGTGACACACAAGAATATCTCCCTCTTCCATAACGTTTATGTAGTCCTGTTAATGAAAACAGGCATTATCACCTCTGCCAAATAAATGACTATACATTAAAAACTCTGACTTAAACATTTCTCCTTATTACCCTGTCATTTGGAACCTCCCACTATTTTATATTCAAAAAAAAAAATCCAGACAACAATGTATAATTGTTTCTTCGAAAGTAATTCTCAGCTGATATTCTATTATTTCACAGAATGGATGCTATTTCAAAGAGGAAAATTAAATTTTCACGCTTTAGCTTTACAAGAGAAATATTTTTATGACTTCAGATAAGAGATGTTGCTTCTTCAAAAGGAATGTTGGCATTCTATTATTTCATAACGATGATGCTATTTCAAAACCAGAGAGGATTTTGAAGCATTTGATTTGCTATGATTACAGGAGAAGTTCTTAAAAATTTCAGTTAAGTTTTGGCTACGGTGAGAATGTCTGCTAAGGATGTTGCACAATGTAAGGGGCATGATACCTGACCTTCTATAGTCTTTTTGCTACTAGAGTACAAGCCCTACCCTATCATCTGATATATTTTTTATTACTTAAGTTCTTCTATTAATTATCATAATGATCAATACTGTAGTTTTCTTCTTTTGATATAGATCGAGGTCTTCTGATAATCATATACTTTCTTTATCATCGCAGAAATATATTACTAAAATATGTTATTCTGAATTAACAATATACAACTAAATATACTAAAAGTTTTTGAAGTACATGTATCTCTTCTGTTTCCCATAAATTGGCAGGAGATAGCAGTCTAAATGTCGTTATTCATTAATTTCGCTGACTGAACTATGTGCAAAAAAAAAAAAAAAAAAAAAAAAAAAAAAAAGATCTATCAATTTTATTTGGTCAAATCAAGTATAAAGGCACATGTTACACATCTAGAAGGTCATTCGATGAAAAGTTATATTACCCTGTTTGCCACACGCTGCAACATGCCATCTAATCTGGCCTCGATTTCGTTGAAAGAAGGTCTTTCTTGTGTGCGTTCAGCCCAGCATTCCAGCATTAGCTTGTATCTACCAATGATGTTTTTAAAAAAAGAGCATCCTGATTATATATTAAAGTAAGCAATGTTTTCAATGTACTGTTTGTGTAAAAAGACAGTTCCATCAAATGAATATTAATGGTTAATGAGAATATTGCAGAAAACAAATAAAACAAAAAACAAAAAATAATTATTGACAAATAATACATGCAGCTTACTGATAGTCTGGACAAGTCGCAGGTTTGGGTAGCCGATAATTATTGGCGTACATTTCACATAATGATTCAACTGGAATTCCAGCAAAAGGGTTTCCACCAAGCGTGACAACCTCCCATAGAAGTATTCCAAAAGACCATACATCGCTTTTAATGGAATATTGTCCCATCAGGAGAGCCTCAGGACTCATCCACTTAAAAGGTAACCTTCCCTACAAAAACTCAGAGTGAGGCCAGGGCAATTTCAATGAACACATTGATTATGCCCAAGAAAAGAATATATACATGTATACGATATGGCGTTACCTTTGAGACTTTAAAATAATATGCTGATTCATACACATCTCTTGAGAGCCCAAAATCAGATATCTTTGCGATTGGGTCCTGTGTGAGTAGAATATTTCTTGCAGCAATATCTCTATGAATACACTACAAAAGAAAATGTATCGTCTTTCGTTGTCACACTTGTATTTTAGCTATTCTCTCTTGACATAAAGTGTTTCTTCTTAACGAATAGTATAGTCAAATACATTTTTATCTACAGTACACATTTAGCAAAATAAATGAGAATATTTACATTTGCTGATGTTTTCCCTTATATAGTACTATTTGAACAAGGTGTATTTAAGCCTGTGTATAAAAGGGTCCATCACATGACCATGCATTCATTGTTTAGTCATAAACAATCACCCTATTTCAAAATGACGTCATAAGTGCTCGACATGTTCAACACATTCAATTTATATCGATTAAGTTGGATAAAATAAATCATATTGCGTGGGTTTAAAAACTATTGTACGCAAATATATTTGTTATGAATAAATCACAAATGTAAACGTAAGTAATAAGGTATCAGTCAGGATGCAGATATGTACGATGGCCGACAGCGGCCGCCACTTTCTGATTAAGAATATTGTCATTTTGTACAGCGTTTTTGTCAATTTTCGTTGACAAATTACAACTAAACTAGTAATGCTATATGTACATGTACACTTTTTACACTGACAATTTACACCAGCGAAAAACATTAAAATTCTTTCGTGTGATATGAAATTAAGATACATAAAACAGGTGGCTTGAAAGAGATAAGGAGCATTTTAATGATTTTCACTCTCAATTAGTTTGAGATATCGTAACCCAGTTAATCCTAGATTAGACGTAAATCGTCATTCTGTAACCTTGTTGTATCATTAAAAAGATATTCTTGGGATTGTAATTAAAAAGGCGAATAAAAGTAGTACGTTTGTTGTAATGGATATACATGAATATAATGGATATATCTCGATCCTCAAAGTGTATGAGACAACTCGATTCTACCTATTATGTAGAGGTAGAAAAACAGGATTTAGTAGCTCTACATGTGAGCATTCAATCAAAAGTTTATGGAATGTATCAAAAACAAAACTTTAGATACGGAAATATACCCGTTTTTAAGCAAGAATAAAATGACAGCCTGAAATGTGGGAGTCTGTATTTGCTCTCTAAACACATAAAATTAATAACTAAATGCTTGAAACACTTTTAAAGGCCAACGCAACCTCTCAAGACTTCCACCTGGTCGGCCATTTAATTTTCAATGTGGCACGGGAATGAAAATATAGGTACATGTAACTAATGTTATCATTTCCTCGTGCGCATTGTTTAAAAAACAAAATTCATACATCAAAGACACGTCCGATTATGAACAAAATCAAATTTCTGATAGACCTGGAAAATTTCATCCTGGTTACCTATGATGTGACCAGCAGGTACACCAACATGGAATTTTATGAATTAATTACTACAATCTGTTGAGAAAGCATATCTAGAAGACAATACTAATCTGTAATCACTCCGACCTTGCTGTTCTGCTACAACCTTAAGCTTATCACCTTCAAGTAACCTGTTTTATGTATCTTCATTTCATATCACAAGAAAGAATTTTAATGATTTTCTTCAGTGTAAATTGTCAGTGTAAAAACTGTATATGGACATATAGCATTACCAGTTTAGTTGTAATTTGTCAACGAAAATTGACAAAAAAGCTGTACAAAATGACAATATTCAGAATCAAAAGTGGCGGCCGCTGTCGGCCATCGTAGATATGGGTTGGTATGTGATCAAATCTACCATACAACCCGAAGGGCTTTTATGGGATTTGATCACATGGCATCTGATTTCTCAAATAATTTACTCTTAAGGTCTGACGACACGTTCCTCAAATATCTGTTTTGTTTCTCCTTGTAAAATATAAGAAATATTCATAATATCAACATTAGGTCTATCTTGTGATTTCTCAACTTTTTTCAACATGTCATAGAAAACTAATACAACAAAAATTGTTATATTGACAATTCAAGTGATTTCAAATAGGATTATATAGGAAACACCACCCGCTGGTATCTTGCACAAATGCTTGGTAAGGTACCTCAATTTTTTGTGAGGAAACTTGTTAGAGTAACAGTACTTCAGTGACAAATGCTTGGGAAAAATGATATATTATTGAGGAACGTGTCGTCTGACCATAACACGTATTCCAAAGTATAAAGTCTGCTGATTCACATACACTAAGTTGGACATAGTTGCCGGATACCTCAGATAGAATTAACTATAATCGGCTGCAGAATATGCTTGATAAAGTCATGTGCCATCGTCTAATGTTTTTACTATTTTTAGAAAAAAATATACCTTTAATTTTTCTAAATGACACATTCCTTTAGAAACATGCCATGCAAACATAACCAAAGTTCTATACAATACAACAGCAGCTTTATCAGGGCCGAAACCAGGAGAATTAAGTTGTAAGCCTGGAACTGTTGAACATCGTCTTAAATAGGATAGAAGATCACCATTACATGCATACTCTAGCACCAACATCAAAGAACCTATTTCAAGTGAAGAGTAAAACATGGTTAAATACAGTTGATCGATTGACTGTAGTTGTTTAACGTCCTTTGTAAGAATTCTTCACTCATATCAGACGTCAACATATACCGGTGAGGGGCTTCAAGTTTATACCTATTCTAGACACTTACATGTACGGCCGTTGGGCAGTGAGGGTTCTTTATCATATCAACGCTTACTGTGACACCTGGCGTATGTTTTTAAGGTCATATCTGAAGAAACCGTGACTTTCACTTTTAATGCTGGGCGCTTGGCGAAGGAACAGTCACTACCTATGTCATACGTCTTAGGTTAGATCGACGCGACGATGGGAGTGAGAATCGAACCCGGACCTCCCGATCACGAAGTGAGCTACTACCACTAGGCTTCCGCGACCAGTTATACACGGGGAGTCGCTTGCGTGGCGCAGTGGTTTGAGCATTTGCTCTAGAGTCACGGAGTAGGAGTTGATCCTTATGTCGCGGGTTGGACTCCACTGTGTGACATGGTGACCGGTCTTTCTGATGAGACACGGATAAACAGAGGTTCCTTGTGGCAGTGGGTGCTGGCACGAAAAAGATCCCTCACTGCTCAAAGGCCTAAGTGCCAAGTACAGATATAAATTTGCAGTCCTCCGACGGGAAAATGGTGATGTCTCAATATCAGTAAAAAATCTCGAAGGGATGTTAAACAGCAAATAAAGTAACAAACAAGATACAGGGAAACATGAATTAAGGATTTCTGAGACCCAGTCTCATAAAATATATTTAAATACATTTGAAAAATCTGTCCTATATAAAAGCTAACTGATAAGGCATGGCTCACCATCGAGACATTAAAATATGGAAAAAAAAAAAAACCGCAGTGAAACAGTGCATTCGACATGGGCAGCAAAACTTAAATGTTTACTAATACATTTGTATTAGGTTAAATTCCTTTGGAAAATAAAAAAAAATCCTACTCAAATTCCCTCATTATCCTAACATCATTAAAACAGTAATCTCGTATATGAGCGCGTTTACTACCTTTCATAGAACATAGGCCTATCAGCTCTATGATATTGGGATGTTTTCCAACGTACATCATATGATCCAACTCCATCTGTAGAGCCTCTTGTTCTTCTCGTGTGGCGTCTTCTGAAATTAATTACATTCTATTTGACATTCCTGAAAAACTCTCCATGAATATTTTTCTGGAGGTGATTAATTAGGATAAATTACATCCAACTAAATAGCTTCGTTTCTGAACAAAATATTCTCTAGTAAGTGGTGCCGCTGACATTGATAACACGATATGTGTTCCGGTTTTTCTTTGGAAAAGTCGTAATCTTTATTTTGCTAATGGAATTCTAAAAAAGGAGAAATACTTTTTTTTGTATCAGGATAAGTTCCAAGGATTCAAGATAACGTAGAAGAATAAGGTTTAAAAGCAGCTTGAAAAATACTTGTGGAAGTTAATTTCAACTTTTTAAGTGAGTCAACTGGGGTTTTATTGTGTGAAAACTGCAATAGAAAAACGTTTTAATTTTATATCATATGTAACTTACTTTGACTTCAATATACATGCTAAGATAAGGGGAAATCTATTGTCTGGGCATTTTTAGGGACAGTCTAAAAATACAGGTACATTTACTAAAGGATTATTTGGGAAAGTGCTAAATTTTTCGCACTCCAATGCAAATTTTACAAATTCTACAATATACTTTTTGCTCAAATTATAATATATGATGAGTAATACTAAATTGTACACTTAGTCTACTTGTAAGAAACACAAAATTTTATCGTCTGGTTTCCAGAGAAAGCATATCAAAATGTTATATATATATATATATATATATATATATATATATATATATATATATATATATATATATATATATATATATATATATATATATACGAAAATTCCTGTTTTTTTTTTTTTTTTTTTTTTTTTTTTTTTTTTTTTTTTTTTGATACTATAAAATAGGACAGATACTAATGATTCATGCAAAAAATATCAGAATATAAATTTTGAATTTTTTTAAATTCCTGTATTTAAAATTTCAAAAAGCATATATTTTATACTTTTTCTTTTGAAACATTATTTATGACCCTCTTATCAAACTGTATTTTATTATAACGTCACAAACACACTGTCACGACGTCTATCTACCAATACTTGAAAAATTGTTTAAAAAGTCTAGCATTGAAATAGATTCTTTTAACTTGAGATTTCTTAATTTTTGCTAATTTGATTAGTTATCTGAAAATATTTGCTTTTAAAGTGTAAGTAAGCTTGATTTTTCTATGCTGCGCGAAGTATTGTGCAATGAAAACCCCAGTCGGTTCCCTTAAATCAAGTACATGAGGGTTATGTAACAGTAAAGCATGTGTTTCTGAAATCAATGTTTATTGTTTTAAAAAAAATAGAGGAAAGATAGAAATTGATGTATATACATTTCAATTGTATCTTTTCAAACATTTGGTGCATTTTATTGATTTAGAACTTAGCATATTTGTGGAATCGTCATTGTTCGTGGGGCACCAATGTTCTCGGATTTCGTAGGTCACCCTTACCCGCGAATTAACATTCCCATGAACGTATACATTTTTAACATATTAATTCATTGAATCAGCGAACCAACGAAATTACATCCCCACGAACAAGTTAAATTTTGCTTGCCCACGAACATTGACCTCCATGAATTTAAAAAAAAGTATTTAATGCAAAGGACTATACAAAAATGCAGCAATGATATATATTGCCCAAATCTGCAAAATTTGCAATAGTTCAAGCACAAAATGTAAGCCTGTCCATATTCCATATTCACGTACATCTTAACATTATTATCATATACAATCATACTTTTAAAAGACAGAGTATAGACATAATAGTTTTATATCTAAATTTTCAACGCAAAATATATTATTTTCTTTCACAATCATTGAATGTGTAAATAAAATGAATGGTTGCATCGTGGCAAATACTTAAAGTATTTTCTGCAACAAAATTTCAAGAAAAATGCCTTTTCCTCTTTCATGTTTGGTAAACTGTATTCTGCACAACTCTACATCATAATCATAGAATGAAATATATGGAGATAACGAACAGTATTCAAGCTCAAAAGTCCATTAATCAATACAAAATAGGAGCAGAGCAAACACGGACCTCCAAACATCAGAGGTGGGATCAGGTGCCATGGAGGAGTGAGTATCCCCTGCCGACCGGTCACACCCGCCGTGTGCTCCTTGTCATGATCGGGAAATAACGGGAAAATCTGTTGACAATTCAGTGTGTAAATAATGGCCTAACAATTAGTGTGAAAAACGTCAGTCAGCATTTCATTCAATGATAAATTGTATTTGCTTACAAGGTCATTGTATCGACCATAGAACTTACGAAATGATGACTTTAAACAAGACAGCTGATATTCTTGTTTCATCAACTTATTTGTCAATAATTTACCTCGTTTTAGAAATTGTACATACGTAGAGCATGCTCTTGCGTATCGAATCAACTGAGAGATATATACCCCGTATGCAGGTGATGAAGGTATATTGCTGCATAAGTAAGGGAGGTTGACGATTGAAAAGTTAAAGTCATCACGTTTATCATAAAGCTTGGTTGTTAGATTACCATTTACTTTTTTTCAAGTAAAATATCCAAATATGAAACAGATGTGTCAGACTCTGTGGTATCTTTTATCTCAAGTTCACAAGGATATATCATATCGACATGAGAATGGAAATAGCCATTGTTAATTGACAATACGTCGTCGATATATCTAAATGTCGATTGAAGGCCACAGCAAGTGTTTTCTTCTTTTCACGTACAAGATTTTGGACAAATTCAAGAAATGGTGTGATAATAATCTAAAATAAATACCCTTTAGTCTTTTGATGGCCACTCTTTTCGTATTTTCATCTTTTTTGTCACGTAAATATCCCTCATGCACCATTCCAAAGGCTCCACGTCCAATCAATTTTCCTATTTTTAGCTGACCAGAAGCAACTTTAAGTCCTTTATAATAATTCTTAAGTTTGGTAGAATAAATCAGAGACTCGTGTCGCTCTTCGTATTGATATGATGATTTACACTACAAAAATGTAGCATAAGAATGTTTTTTTAAAGTGGATGGGCATTCTTACATTTAAATTCATTCATACATATAGATGTAACTGAAGACATTATTTTGGGCATTAATTCAAATTAAATACTCACTTATTCTTGGATTAATTCTTTAACGATTTCTAATGATTTCTTAACTTTTACGTTTTGTCTACTATCCTTCTGTCTTGATACAGTACAATTGCTCTAAAGTACATTTTTGTTATCACCAAATTCACAGTAAAAGAGAATGTTTCAGCATTTCAGTTTCAGAAAATGAAATAAAGCATGGCTTTAGTAAAGGACATCTAATATGCTATTAATATTTTTAAGCAATTAAGAGAAATTAAGTAAGATTGATGAAAATTGAATTTTCAAACTAGAAAGCATTAGAAAAGTAACACTTACCATTAGCAGTTTCGGAAATTTTAGATAAGTTCGATGTGTTTGTTTCCATTTATACACTGTAAATCCAACACCAACAAAGAATAAAACAATTACAATTCCAACGACACCAAACACTACACCATCTGTTTAAAGGAAGGAAAATTTGAAATCACAAAATTTTACCAAAATCAATAACATCAAAACAAACGACTTTTCAACTTTATACAACCATTCCTCAAGATAAAATAAAGTCCAAGATTTTTGACACCATTATGAGACAGCTGCTTTTTCAATAAAAGTGGAACTCGTAAATATACTTACCTTGTCATTGGTCATTTAAAATTATTTTGTTAAAAAAATATTCTAATTCTGATAAGTACTCTGAAGTTGATCTTAAAAAGATGCTTGATAGTCTGATTGACAAAATCTATGTAGATTTTGGAGATCATGTCTTCAAACAATCTGTTGGAATTCCCATGGATACCAACTGCGACACGCTGTTAGCAGACCTTTTTGTATTCATATGAAGCAGAATTCATTCAAAAACTTCTACACAAGAAGAAGAAAGTGCTTGCTGTGGCCTTCAACTCGACATTTATATATATCGACTGTGTATTATCAATTAACAATAGTTACTTCCACTCATAATTATGTCGATTCGATATATCACAGTGAACTTAAATAAAAGAAACCATAGAGTCTGACACTTCTGTGTGACATTAATATTTGGATATTTTATATTGGTAAATAACATGTATCACCTGCATATGGGGGTTATATCTCCGAGTTTATTCGATACTCAAGGGTATGTTCAAGTACGATAAATTTTTAAATCGAGGCAAGCTCTTAATATCGGTAAGTGATGAATCAAGAATATCAGCAGTCATCATTTCGTAAGTTCTAAAGATACAATGACCTTGTCAGCAAATACAATATATCATTATAGGACATTATTTGCAGACAGAAATATCTACGGATCTTTCAGTTTGCCCGATCATAACGAGGAGCTCACGGCTGATATGACCGGTCGACAGAGGATGCTTACTCCGCCATGGCCCCTGATCCCGCCTCTGATATTTTGGGAGGTCTGTGTTTGCTCTGCTTCCGATTTGTATTGTTTCAATGCAATGGTCTATGAGCTTGAATGCTCTTCGTTATCTCTATATTTCATTAGAAACATTGCCCACTGAATGAATGTTTGATAATAGTTTAAAGCTTAATGTAATTGAAGAGCAACATTAATGTAGTAACAAATTTCATAATAATTCTAAAAGTGTTAAACATTCTATATATTGTTGTGCTATACCAAAACTTTGCCCAAATAATGGTAATTCTTGCCGAAATATAGTTGAAATATTGCCGACTCGGAGCTAAGCAATCAGCAAGCAATCTATCATGACAATTCTGTGTTTTTATTGTAGAGTTTTAGAGGCAAAATTGCCAAAATAAAAATAATCATAAAACTAGCATTCTGCTACCTGGTGTTTTCGATCTGTTTTCATATTCTGTCATTTGATCGTTCTTCTCTGGTGCAAACGTTACCACTGGTTCCATACCTAACCAAAGATAAATCTGCATATAATTCATGCCTTACAAAAAATGAACCTTTACCGATATTTCCTTTATATACAAAAAGAAACCTAGACCGACCCTTTCCTTTCACAGAAAAAGAACATTTATCGATCATTTCAATCAGATGAAAAAAGACTCTTTACCTACCTGTTCCTTACCAAAAAAAAAATAAATAAATAAATAAAATAAATAAACATTTATCGATCCTTTCCTTAGAACAAATGAACCATTATGCTGATCCTAAGCTTAAAAGCTGAACCTTTACCGATTCTTACCCTACAAAACTGAACCTTTACCGATCCTTGTAATTCATGTCTTACAAAAAATGAACCTTTACCGATATTTCCTTTATATACCAAAAAAAAAAAAAAAAAAAAAATAGACCGACCTTTTCCTTTTAGAGAAGAAGAACATTTATCGATCATTTCAATCAGATCAAAAAAGACATCTTTCCTACCTGTTCCTTACCAAAAAAAAATGAATAGATAAATAAAATAAAATAAAATAAATAAACAAACATTTGTCGATCCTTTCCTTAGGACAAATGAACCATTTTATCGATCCTTAGCTTAAAAACTGAACCTTTACCGATCCTTACCCTACAAAACTGAACCTTTACTGATCCTTACCCTACAAAACTGAACCTTTACTGATCCTTACCCTACAAAACTGAACCTCTACTGATCATTACACTACAAAACTGAACCTCTACCGATCATTACCCTACAAAACTGAACCTTTACTGATCCTTACCCTACAAAACTGAACCTTTACTGATCCTTACCCTACAAAACTGAACCTCTACTGATCATTACACTACAAAACTGAACCTCTACCGATCATTACCCTACAAAACTGAACCTTTACCGATCATTACCCTACAAAACTGAACCTTTACCGATCATAACCCTAAAAAACTGAACCTTTACTGATCCTTACCCTACAAAACTGAACCTTTACCGATCCTAACCTACAAAACTGAACCTCTACTGATCATTACACTACAAAACTGAACCTTTACCGATCATTACCCTACAAAACGGAACCTTTACCGATCATTACACTACAAAACTGAACCTTTACCGATCATCACCTTAGAAAACGGAACCTTTACCAATCACTACATTTTAAAACTAAATTATTACCAGTCATTACCCTACAAAAATGAACTTTGACCTATCATTACCCTACAGAACGAAACCTATACCAATCCTCAATATTAAATGCATATATTAATTCTGTCAGGATTAGATTCTAATCACGTAAAATTGTAAGCTTTTACTTCAAACTTGTTCAGGGTTTTTAAAAGAAGACAGGGATCTTCATCTGATTTTAGAAATTAACACGTTGTTTGTGAATTAAAGTAAATCTATTATGAATTTTTTTAGTGTTCTTTTTTACCAAAATCAAAACAACTTTCTAAGTTATTATAAGCACTTTTTTCATGAAACAATTTTTCACAATTCATGCATTGATGCCATATACATGTAAAGATAACTGCTATAGAAATGTTATGTATTATGTTTTACGATAAACTTATTTAATAAGTCACTCAGTCTATTTATTTACAATGTGGTTAGTAAAAGGTTAATAAGCCATTATTATACATACTTTAAATGCAGTTAAAGTGGAGAGATAAATAAAAGAATTAAACAGAAACGATACTCAATCTTAAAAGCAGCATAAAATGTTAGCAAAAATAATGCAAAAAATCAAAATGGCACACAGGAACACTGGTGAAATTTATACCAGAAATCAATTTTGGCTTTCCTATAATTGATATGTTCCTCTTTGTTGACACAGCTGGACCTATGCCTACAAATTCATTTATTAAAAAGGTTTAAATGTAAAAATAATACTTTGTTTTGTTTTGAATACATTTTAAGCTCCCTCTTACTTTAGTTATAATTTCCAACATTGTTTATCTCTCCAATCATTTCCAAATTTGCACATATGTAAGATATCGGTGAATTTTATTATAGAAAACAAAAATAGCAATAAAGGAATATAGATTTCTATAATGACAATTGAATTCTTTGAAAGAACTGAATGCACTAAATAAATCATCAAAAATCTCTTTGATAGCAATCGGGTATGAAGCAGATCTATATCTACAATGCTTATGGCAACATTCAGTGCGTTTGTGTCAATTAGATGAAAGAGCCATCAAAATATATTGTAGGTTATTGATTGAGTTTGTTTATTTGCTTTTAAAATGTATTTTTATTATGCATAAATATAGGCATAACCGTTAAATTAAATTGCTTTTAAAGATAGACATGAAGAGTATTAACCTAATCTCACAAATTCCTCGTTTTCATAGCGTTGACATTTTCTTTCTTGGTCCGACAGTATTTTGAATTCTCCATACTGACAGACACATTGTTCCTCCGAAGTACTACCAATTTGACTGGTCGAGTACTGTGGACAGGGGGTACATGCTGCTGGGCCAATAAATGACTTGAATGATCCCTCTGGACATTCTGTGGAGAGTTAATATAGATTATGTAATAAAGCCTCTAAACAGTCAACTGTCATATACTGCCAATGGCGACGTTAAATATTAATCATATTTGTGAAAAAGGTGAAGATAACAAAGTGTGATCGATCTCAAAAAATATGATGTACGATTATCTCAAAAAAGGGAGTTGGCCAGTATTATATATTGTAATGATAAGCTACTAAATGCGGTGTTATAATACAAAATGAATTTTTACGTTCACAAACTCCATCTACAAGCGTGTATCCTTTTTGACAAACACATTCTGAGGCCCAATCATAGAGGGGATGAGATCCTTTAGGACACGAGGAACACTGAGTTGTTTGTATTTCTTCAGAATCCGAATCATCGTAACAAGTTACTGAAAAGTAGATAATGCTATGAAGTTTTCATGTAGAATTGTGTAACTATTCAAACTCGCTAATTATGTACAGTACCCAGACTTTGGTTTCTACATGCATTATAGCTTTGACAATTTTTATCAATAAAATCAGAACTTAGAATTTTATCACCTTTACAGGATTCAACACTTTGAGTACTGCAGTAACACCGTGCTTTACAACCTAATAAAGAAAAATCTTAAATATTACGACATCAGACCTTACCAGAATTTCTTCTAAATATAAGTGAAATCTTTTGGGTTTTTATACACTTTACATAAGATATATCTTTTTTTAATACTAAGAATATAAATAAAATAATATCAAAATTGAATAGAATTTTTAAGTGTCAAACATACCACAGGTCAAGTTATTCATATCGAATTTCTCCATTGAAATACTGGTTCCGTTCTGAAAGCACATCAGGGCACATTCCTTTGTTTTGTGGTGTAAATCGCATCTTTTCTTCTGCCACGATATTAACCACCTATTTTTACAGCTGCATGTTAGTGGATTGTCATGCAAAATTCTAAAATAAAATATAGAACGTTATATTAAGCACTGTAATCATATTTTAATATTTTTTAGGATTTAATCATCGTACTTAAAGCTATATATAGCGTAACTGAGCTTGAAAAATAATAATACGAGACTGAGTGTAAATATACATGATATATGTTATTTACGTTCACATTAAAATTTTTAACGATTTTGAGCTTGAATAACCTCAAGTTTCTATAGTTAAATTGACTTTAAATTTGTGTGTTATTTAAATGTGGAGTCGGTAAATAAATCGGTTATTGTTTAAATTTTCAATATCTTTGAAACATGATTGATTTGAATTGTGTAATTTACTGGAAAGGCCTATCTATATATAAAGTAATAAAACAAAAAGATCTTAAGTATTTAATTTTGGTCACTTGAACTTATCAAAAAATACGTCATATATGACTTTAACACCAGGATTTTTTTTTTATATATTGACGGAAGAAGTTATGTACCTTCAAAATGAAAGATATACATATAATTACATTTGATGATAACGAAATAATTAATATGTGCATAATCTGAGGGTTCTTCAATTTTTATGGGAAAGTAATGGACAGCATGTGAACGCCTTCCGGCCGGCCTGGTTCTTAAAATTATTAAATTTTCTGAAAGGATTTTGTGAATTGACATGCATTATACATACATCTGACTTAAGTCCATTAAATGGAATTGAAGTGCCATTTTCTCCGGCAGAGTGTTAATTTCATTCCCAGACAACAATCTAAATGAAATATAACAGTATCAACATTTTTGATAAAAAATTATAAAAATGTCACTTATAAAAAAAGTAATGAAGGGCGACGAGAATTGATATGTTTACTAGTAATGAATTTTCTTTTGAGATTCAAAGCAAGTAGCTGCTAAAGCTTAGATTTATCAAAGCAAAAAAGAGAGACATGGTTTATTTCAGAATCTGTGAACTGGACGATGAAAAGTACATACAGCATTGACAGATATCGCAGATCATCAAAAGCTTTGCTCTCAATCATTCGGATTTGATTATTGGAGAGGTATCTGGAAAAAAGAACTCAATAAAGGAAATGACAACCTGATTAAATCTACTTTACAATTAAAACATTAAAATTCATTGATTTTAAACCTTACAATGATACATGTAGATGAATTAAGATGATTCATATTTCAATGTTTGGATATATCATTCCTCATGATGTACAAATCTATTCTACATAGTTTTCTTAAAAAAATCTTTTCAGGATTTTTTAAAACTTATTTTTTAACATTTCTAATGTTTAATATTATCCTTACAATTATTTGTATTTTATTTATTCATTCATTTATTTATTTGATTGATTTTTTTCTTTTGGCATTATACATTAAAAAATGGTGAAATGTTACTTACAGGAATTTTATTGAGGATAAGGCACTGAGAGAGGGAATCTTCTTAATGTTATTTGCACTTAGGTCTCTGGAGATTAAAAGACAAGAAAATATCAAGGTATACTAAACGTGTTGTGAATGAATTGAAAATAATATCTGGTTATTCATAATTTGTCTATTTATTTGGGAAGGGGGTGTCTGCTCAAATAACATAAATATATGTAATTGATTTTGTAAAAGTTACCGAACACACACACACACACACACAGAGAGAGAGAGAGAGAGAGAGAGAGAGAGAGAGAGAGAGAGAGAATCCTTGGTATCAGGTGAAATATTTACAAAGAGGACGAATGGTAAAAAATAATACTTACAAGAGTTTTAAATTTTTTAGCATTTTTATAGAGACCATTGGAATTTCTTCAAAATAATTATTTTCTAAGTACCTGTAAAGTAAACTTTATCATAAATATTAAGATAATTGTTTTCTAAAGTATATATAAATTATGTAAACTCTGAAATACTATTTAAAATTTTATTTAATATTAAAAACTAAATACATGTCATGTTATCGTGAACATGAAGAATTTCACTATACCTTAGGTGAATTTGTGTAAAAAAAAAAAAAAAAAAAAATTAAAAAAAAAAAAAAAAAGATTTTCAGATTCTTAGCAGCTTTTTTTTTTTTACTTTAATCTCTATTTTTAATTAATATATATAATTATATAAGAGTAAATACGGAATAAAAGTAACTGCAGAATCAGAGTGAAAATAATTTGGAAAAACAGTGGTAAATACGCTCTTGATTTTCTTATTTGAGTTTGAAAAATAACGTTGGAATAAACCTTCTGTCAGTCCGAATGTAGAGTATTTCTAGAGCTCCAAGTATTTAACTTACAATGATATTAGTTCAAGGTTCGACAAAAATAGATTCTTCTTTAGGTCTTTTAATTTGTTGTGGCACAGCTTTCTGAAGAAAAAAATCTTCAGCTTTTAAAGTTATATCCATTTCGTGATTTTGTTTATTGAAATTCCTTATATATTTACATGTTCTAATTTTAATATTTAAGAAGATTAAAGAGATGGTAGAAATGAAATCATTTTCTCAAAACAGACAATTTTAACAACACTTATTTTCTCACTGTCCGTTTACAAACTTCATTAGTTTTTCTAGTACATGTAATGTAAAATATATGATTATTTGTATAAACAATATAAAAGATAAGTATATACATACAAAATCCGAAGATTCCAAGAGTCGACAAACGCTCTCTCATCAACAATTTGAATTCTGTTATGACAAAGATCTCTGTAAAGGAATTAAAAATGACACTGATGCTTCACGACCCAATATCTAAACAAAATGATCGTACAAAATGCACATGATAAAATATAGCACATTCTCAGAAAGAAAATAGTTTTATAGTTTCTTTTTAAGCATAGTATGTTGTGCTCTTTGAAATTTAAAAAAAATGTTGTCAAGATTAGTATAGTAATTTAATAAAAATGGATGACATATCATGCTTAAAAGAGATAAGTGCAATCATATTCTTTATTGAACTGAATCGAAAAATGTGTTATATTCATAATCACAGTAAATCTCCTTTACTGATGATTTTTCCCGAAACAAATCAATTCAGGAATCTAACCCAGACACTGAAACATTCATGACGCCTTACAGACAAGTTTAAAGTACGAATTTCAAAAGATGCCATCAATTAGATAAATTTATTTCACAACTCTACAAAATCTGGCTTAGTGCACAAGAATCTACTTACAACTGTTGTAGCATCACCAGACTCTGAAATGTATCTTCCTGGACGGTCGTGATGTCGTTGAAAGTAACGGAACTACAATTTGGTGTATAACAGATTAATAATTACATTAACAATAGCAATTTCCTCATCCGGAAACTTTTGCTGATTAAAGTATTCTGCTTTTAATGTGTTCTACCACGTTTTTTACTCCCCTTGAAATGAATGTATTGTACGTTTTGCACTTATTGTCTGTTATGATGAAGTGTTAGTGTTAATTTCGCCACCCATGTCTATTAACCATACATGTATATTTACGTTTTATACTTCTTGTTTTTTTTCCTTGGTCGATAAAGTGTGATTTTATTACTCTCCAAAAGCCTGGTTATAATTGACAAATAGCAAGACAACTTGTTTTTTTTCCTGGTGTAATAATTAAAAGTTAAACACATTTATGACTCACATATATCATGATTAAATATCTCATAATTTTGAAAGAAATACTCTATCCATGTATATTATCATTCCTACCTTAAACACTTAAAGATGACAAAAAAATAATCTGATTTTTTTTCTTATTATCAGAGTAGTAAAAATAGAAAAAAAAAATCCAAAACCAAATAAATTGTTACCAATCAGAAGAATCTATGCAATGTTTCACAATTTCAGGGAAATTTAATCTCATCGCTTTCTAGTCTATTCCTATTGTAAAAAAGCTCAACGCAAATTTCTTTACTTTCTTGAGGATTATTTTTAATGTAAAATTTTACTATGTGGACACTGATACAATTTTTCTACTTTGTACCATTAAAAATGTGAATGCGAAAAAACTACATAAATGGATCAAACAAAGTGACCTGTTAATTTCGCGCTTACATTGAATATATCCTCTTCTTGCTTGCAAATAAAAACGGCTGTAAAGTTTCTTTGAGATTCAGAATTGAGCAATTCTTCAATGATCTGTTAAAAATAACATATATTTACAAAATATTAATGTAAATGAGTATCCATACATACATAGGTCATATTTTGTTGTGATGCCTATGCATTGGTGAAAAGGAGCACACGACGGGTGTGATTGGTCGGTAGGGGATGCTTACTCCTCCATGGCACCTGATCCCACCTCTGATGTTTTAGTGGTCCTAGTTTGCTCTGCTCCTGATTTACATTATTTAAACATGTTAAATGGACTTTTGAGCTTGAATACTGTTTGTTTTCTCCATATTTTTATTCCAAAACAATATCCCGACGTACAAGCTCTTTAAGTATAGATGACTAGATGGTGTCCCCATTTATCTTTACCATACTGGTAAGAATCATTATTACTGATTTATCATTACATTTTTCAGTCAAGTTGTATATATTTAAGGAAATTCTTTGCATGCCAATTCTTTAACTTATGTTAAAATACATGTATGTGACATGTAACAGCAGGCCAAGGAGGATGATAAAATTTGGCAACAGATTTTTATCATATCAATCGATCAACATATTATACCAACTCAAAGCAATATATATGTGGGATGTGGGACGTTCCGTGCTGAGACGTTTCGCCTTAAGACATTTCATACCGGAAGTCAATTAATAATTCCCTTAATAGGTAAATTGAGAAGAACTTATCCCTTATTGCGATAGTAATTATATTTGACAATGTGTTAGTCAAACAACTTGTGTTATTACAGTATTTTCAGTACTGACGAACCATTGTGCTTTTGTTGACTTAATAAATGTACATTGCTCATGAAATATTTAATATTTATTAAATTTCTCCATTATGTATACATGTATCTGTGTTTTAATCTCTCTGTTGACAAACTAATTTGTTAAAGGTGACCCTTAACCACCATTTTATATTGTCTTCTTAAAATATTATTGGGATAAAAATTCCTGTTATTAATTAAAAATCAATATATTCTTAAGCCATTTTAATGTATTAGTAAAAAAATTAAGTTTAGCCATGCGCATGAAATTATTTTGTTTTAAGATTTTTTTTCATTAATATCAATCACTTTTTGAAATATTCCATTCAATTTATTCGCGTTCTTATAGTTATCAAATGTCATCTTTATCTACCTTAAGCTTCTCATAAATTTATTTTGCTAAATTGTTTTGCAAGTTTCCAAATCAGCTATCAAACTTCATTCATAATTGTTGAATTAGCATAATTAATATACAACTATATCCTCTATGTAGTGCATCAATAAATGATAATGATAAGTACAAGGATACCAAACTTAACAGCTAAATTAATAAGACTGATGACAACAACAGTTTTTTTTTTCTTCTAAAAAAATATTATAATCATATTAAAATATAACAAGTACGTTAATTAAATGTAGAAGGAAAATATGAATTATTTACATTATTTATTGCGCGAAACGTCTCGGCGTCTTAGTCTTTGAAGCCGAATGGTCTCAATACGAATCGGCAATAGAGAGAAAAGGTCCCATTACTTGTATGCGTATGTTTACGTAATAAACATACTCTAGATCTGCATATAAGTTTCTCGCTTTTTTATGGTTGGCACACTCTTTAGATATAATGCGCCTAATAGTAGACAAAAAACGTCTAATATTTTTAACATATGTTAAACAAATGATATACGTCGACCGCGTTTCGCATTAGACAGAGCGTTTGCTCCAGAGTAGCGGAGTAAGGAATTGATCCTTACGTCGCGGGTTTGAATCCCACTGTGGGACAGGAAAACCTGTCCTTTGGATGAGACTGTATAAACCGAAGTCCCGTGTCACAGTAGGTGTTGGCACGAAAAAGATCCCTAATTGTTCAATGGCCCTGAGGGTCGCGTATAGGTCAAAATTTGCAGCTTTCCACCGGAAAGTGGTGGAGTCTCCATATAAGTGAAATATTCTAGAGAGGGACGTTAAACAACAACAACAAAATAAAAACAAAAAACAAAAAACAAAAACAAATGATATACAGGTATGTTGCTCCGTTTAATGTATTATATGTGTTGAACACAGGTCACTATGTTATCTGTGTAATGGTAAAGGTGATGAAAAGGATTAGTGATCAGATGTAGCATTCATTAACAGCCGATAATTTCAATCTTTGTAAATCACTTTTAAAAGCCTTTTCCCCTAAAGTTCAAGTATGATTTACGTTTCATCGATTTAATAGGTGATTTGAGTAAATATTTAAACGTTTTGGTTTCAAATTATTAAAATGATCTTCCATGAGAATTTGGGTATTTTATATACCTACTGGAAACTAGGAAAAAATTACTTCTGACAACATTATAAAGCCTCCATGACTTCAAGCGAGACAAGCTTAACGATGCCTCCCTTGATCCCAAAGGAATCAATTTTGTCCAATGTTTCTTTTTTTAATGTACTAGCAAAGAAAACGTCATTGCCAACAGTCAGTGTTTGTAGTCCATATTCGGTTTAGGACTGGATATTTTTGGTTTAAATGAAACACTAATGCACCTTTACACGTAACAATTCCGAAAAAGAAAATGACAGTGGAAGAAAGCAACACAGGGATCAATAAACGACTTTCTAACAGTCGGGAACTTGATTAACGAAGAAGGATATTCAATTATAGGAAGGTGACTTTCGGCTGTCATTTTATTTAATGAACATACCCAAACTGAAATGTAAGATTACGAACAGTAAACAAGCTCAAAAAATCTAATTAAACAATACAAATTGGGAGCAGAGCAAACACGGACACTGGAAACGCAACAGGTGAGATCAGGTGCCATGAAAGAGAAAGCACCCCCATACCTGTCACATCTTTCGTGAGTTGATAGTCTTGATAGTGTAAACGGAGTACACCAAAGACATAATACATCAGTATGAAAATGACGGTTTATAATTTCTATTAAAAATATCAGTCAACATTCGACTCTGTGAAAGTTTGTTTCAGCCAAGAAGGTTATTGTACGACAATACAATCTACGAAATGTTGATTGTAAACCAGATTGTTGAAACCTCTGTTACTGTAGCTGATTTTTCAGCACTACCGGTTTAAAAATCAACCACAGGCAATGCTCTCGCGTATCGAATTAATTTGGACATTTAATCACCATATGCATATATTGTTGCAATGCGCTAAATAAGGGAAGGTGACGATAGAAAAGATGAAGTTAATCATAAATTTTAGTTATGTATCGTTAATAAAATATCAGATACAAAGTATCAGATATCAGATACATAAGATACAAAGATGATAAATACAATCATTTGGATTAATCCTTTTTTTTATAAAGACACATTTTATCACAAATGAGATGAAAAAGACGAAAAGTGTAAATATTGTTTGTTTGTTTGTTTGTTTTTTAAAATATTTTTTTTACTCAATTAATTCCGTTTAAACATGTAACAAAAAAATAGTTCTTCTGTTTTTTTTTAAATAAATTATTTATCAATTATACTCAGGGCAAAAAAAAAATCAATCAATAATTCTCTGTATCATTTAAACTGAGAGTTCGTATAAGGCGGTATGCATATATATACGTTTATGCTTCAGTTTATCAAATCCAAAAGCACGAAGCAAAATACCAAGATGAAAGATCTTTGTAAATTTTCAGTTAATATCAAAGAGATAAAATCTTAAATACAATCTATATTGAAATATCACCAAAAGAAGACCAAAAACTGTTTTATCACTTAGGTAATAATCAGGGTATAGCTTAACCTTAATAAAATGATTAAAGCATGAAAATAACACAAATCATATAAAATACATAAATGTCACACAGGACTTACAGATCGAGAAGTCTGGGATAATTTCCATGCAATTGATACAGGTGTGTCAGAGATGTATTTGTCATTCTTCTGAAAAGGAAAGAATATAAAGGGAAAATAATAATACCACAATCCTTTCATCCGAAAAGGGACAAGATGATACAATTTGACAAATGTACATGCTTTCAGTTGATTGATACTATTCTAAAACAAGTAGTAATTTGGCCCAAAATCAACTTTTTTAAATATATATATATATATATATATATATATATATATATATATATATATATATATATATATATATATATATATATATATATATATATATATATGTGTGTGTGTGTGTGTGTGTGTGTGTGTGTGTGTGTGTGAGGGTGTGTGTGTGTGTGTGAGGGGGTGTGTGTGTGTGTGAGGGTATGTGTGTGTGTGTGTGTGTTCATCATTGTATATTTTTACTCTTTGTTTAATCTTTATCCTATATTTGAAGGATCGAACACATTTTTTTTAATTTAGTCCTGTCGAGAACCATAAAGTGTTTATCAAGCATTAGATTTTCCAATTTCACATGTTTATGTGGTAGCTACTAGCCATAATAAAGGCTTAGGATATAAATTCAGCGTTTATTCTCCTGAATGGGACCTAACATATTGTCAGAACCAAATTGTAGTGAGGAAAAGAAGTTTCACTTTTTTTTTTTTTCGTTTTAGATCATTTTCTTATAATATATCAACGACTTGTTTGTAAGAGACATTAGAAAAGACAATTGACTTTCATGAAAACAAATATAGTTTTAAGATAAAGTTGACTGAAAGAAAAGAATTGTTTTTTTTTTTTTTTTTTTTTTTTCATTCAAATTCAGATATCAATTTTAATATTTCTTGTGAGACATATGTATATGCATTTTTTCTGTTAAAAGAAACCAAATCATAATTAATTTGTTCATTTTGTTGTTGTACTCGTGCTAAATTTTTGTTCTAGAAATCGCTAAATGCATGGCCAATAAACATCTCTGTCAAAGAAACTTTCTCAGAACTCTAATAAAAAAAACATGTAGCCTTTTCAAGATTTGTTGTATAACTGCGTCAGACATTGTTAAAAATCAATCAATTTTAATCCCCCAAAAAATCAAAATGTCCGATACCCCAACATTCAACTTCATCGTCCTTTCAATTAATGTTTGACAATGTGTTTGTAATGACTTGGTGACTTTTGGGTATTTGTCAGAACCTTTTCTATGCACAAAAACTATCTGACGGATTCTTTTTGTTGAAGACAAGAACTTAAAACAAGACTTCGCAAATGTATTTATAAAAGCATGTTCATAAATACAAGATATAATCTATGTATAATTAATATTAAAATGCCATTGCTCTATTTGGATCATAACAAAACTTAACAATACACACACACAGAGAGAGAGAGAGAGAGAGAGAGAGAGAGAGAGAGAAATAACTAATTTAAGGCATTCATTATTTTTTTATTACAATTATTCAATAATATCATGAAAGTATTTCTCTCATTAAATTTATTTCCTTCAACTTTTACGAAGAATTTTCGTTTGATATTAACGCACATAAATGATTTTTTACTGTTTTTTTTTTAAGTTAAATATTTGCATACATAATAATAAAGTTATCTTTTCAAATAAATCTTTTCAAGTAATAATATGAATACAATAATAAGTATTTTTATAAAAGGAAACAAATAGTAAGAATTGTTCTATATCAATTAATAATTAGAATATATAAAAGGAAACAAATAGTAAGAATTGTTCCATATCAATTAATAATTAATATAATTCATGATACTTGCATTTCTTCAGTGTTCTGTGGTATTTCGATCATAACCTTGTATACATTTCCTGACTGTACGTTGTCACATTTGACATAGGGCTTCAAACCAAAAATACTTCCACATGAGCATTCCTTCGGACACACAACAGGCGATAATGCTGAGTATTGCACCATCAAACTCTGTATTATCAGGGTAATCTCCAGCATGTATAAACTGTACGCCGTATCAAATCGTCTCATGGCTTAAAACAGTGTGAATTGAGTAACGTGTTCGAAGATTAATCCTCGATATCTGTGATACTTCTAACCCCGTGTTATAACTCAAGGACTTGCACTCGATATACAAAATGATGGATATCGATTTTCTTGTACATTTATCTTTTTTAAGCAAGGCGTATATTCATGATATTAACGACTTAATGATATTCACAATGAAATATCAAAAGAACCAATGAAAAAAAAAGTTCAATAAAAAAATCATAGGCAGATCGACATTTGATATGTGTATGTACCCAAAGATTTCTAAAGAATCATTGTTTATTATCTTCAATTTTAGCTCACCTGAGCGAAAAGCTCATGAGCTTTTCTGATCATATTTTGTCTAACGTCCGTTTATCTGTAACCTTTTTACATTTTCGACTTCTTCTCAAGAACCACCGGGCCAATTTCAACCGAACATTCTATAAAGCATTCTTGTATAAATGGGACTACGTTTGTTAACATGAAGGGCTACACTTTCTTTCAAGGGAAAATAAATACGTATTAATGAAAATTTAATGGCATGTTTTAAAAATCTTCTTTTTAAGAGCTACTGGGCAGTGATAGATGAATCTTATGAGAAAGCTTCATTACGTAGTGTAGATTCAAGTTTGTTCACATCATGAAACGAAGGGCTAGGGTGGGGCCACAACAGGCAATCAAATTCATACATAGAAATATATCGGGGAAAAAATTAAAATATTTTCAAGAACAGCAAAACCATGATTAGTCATATTGATATGGGTAGTTTTGATCAGGTTTGTTCAAATCTTGAATCCCCAGGGGTATGGGTAGGGTGGAAACACAAAAGGTGATCAATGTGAGAATATATAGATGTTAAAAATCTCTTTAAAAATCTTCTTCTCAAGAACAGCAAACAAAGCTATGATACGTAATATAAACATAGAAGCATCCTCAGGAAGTGTAGATTCGAATTCAGATGGACAGATGTACAAAAGTACAGATCGTCAGACAAAAGAACACCGGAACGAAATGAATCAGAAAAAAAAATATCTGAGCTGTTGGTTTATATGAGCTACGTACTACAGAAAAAGCTTTGGTCAGCATGAGTTAGAATCAATTATATGCAAAGCAAGATGCAAAAAGATACAATATATAATTTTCGTACACGTTAAGAGTCGCTTCCATACATCATGTCTGACGGCCTAGTAAGTGAAACGTTAATTCCAAAGCATTGGGATATTTTATTTTGAACAATTTCGTGAAGATTTGATCATTCACAAAGGACCCGTGCACTGTCAATACAAACCATAATAATGTGATGGAAATTTAAATGTAATTTAACAGAACATAAAACGCGGACACCCGGAAATTCCAAACGTGGGATCAGGTGCCTAACAGGAGTAAGCATCCCCTGTTGATATGTCACACCTACCGTGAACCCTATTATAGGTTTTATTTGCTAACAAGGTCATTACATTGTATAATGACCATAGAATTTACGAAATGCTGAAATTAAACAAGGTTAATAAAATCCCTGTAACATCAACTTTTCTGTCAGGAGCCTGCCTCGGTTTAAAATTTGATCCTACTCGGACCATGCTTTTGGGTATCGAATAAGTTTGGAAGCGTAATTTGCAGGTGATAGCGGAATATCGCTACATAATGTTGACGACGGAAAAGCTAAAGTCACCTTGTTTGTCGTACAATTTAGCTGTTAGATGCCCTTCTTCTTTAGTCAGTAAAACATCTAAACATAAAAAATGCGGCAAACTCTGGGGTGTCTTATATAATGTTCACTGGAATATATCGAGTGACTATTGTTAATATATAAATCGTCATAGATATATCCAAATTTAAGTTGAAGGCCACAGCAAGTGTTTTCTTCTTCTCATGTTGAAGTTTTTGAATAAATTCTACCTCATAGGCGTATAAAAACAGGTTGACTAATAAAGGTGCACAATAAGGGCCGATAGGGATTCCAACAGTTTGTTGGAAGACCAGGGGTCCGTTTCATCAAAAGTCGTAAATTTAAGACCCAACTTGGCTGTGATTCCTGGGCTTACGCCAAAATTTAGTCGGACGTAATTTGCGTTTCACGAAGTAGCGTAAGACTAGTCGTAAACGATACGCTTAGTCTCAGGACTAAGTCCTTGACAACGCTGCATTGCACATGTGCAAAAAACATTAACATATGTATTGTGTACAATATAACATACAGTGTTATTCTACATACATTGTACACAATTGAACAAATATTAACTTAAATGAAAAATTACATAAAATTTTAGGGACCATATTATAAAATATTAACTATTTACAAAATACCGTCTGATTAAACTCCAAAATTTAAGGTTAAAGAAAAGAAATACATGTTCGTGTAAATGTATTTATTTTGGAATATTAACATCTCCCCTGCCTCACCCCCTTCGATTTTGATACACACACACACACACAGAGAGAGAGAGAGAGAGAGAGAGAGAGAGAGAGAGAGAGAATCCGTTACAATTGTATATACTTGTAAATATATGTAACTGAGCATATGATGGACTAGTCTGCTAAATTATCAAGAATAGATAAAATAATACAAAATATGTATCATCATGAAAAAATAAACTTTTTTTTTTATTTCTTCTATGACATTACGTTGTACGCCTTTCCGTTTGTTCCTAAAAATTGTAGTATTTATTTTTTTTTAATGCGGATTCTTTTTATGTTTTATGATAAAGAAAGGCAAGTACCATCGATATTCATTTTGAAATTTTCAGAAATTTATCATTCATTGTTTAAACATTAATATATATAGTCATACATGGGCGTAATAATTGTAAAATTACAGTCATTTCCGAGTCAAGTTTCTCTGACAGCTGATTTTCAGAAGCTTTCGAGTGACTTTGTTGACCCCTAGTCCCTTAGGTAAAACCCTCCCTAATTTGTATTGAACATCAGGAAAAATTGACTTCTAAGTAAAAAAAAATTGACTTCTAATCAACTGGAATCTTTTTTTTTCCGTTTTTTGAACGTTAGCAACTTTTTCTGAACGCAGATGCGGGTCTGTGATTTTTTTTTCCAAGGGAGAGGGGGGATGGGGCCGAGTCATTAGTAAATAAAAATTCCATCTGAGAAACTTCTTGATAAAAATCGTAATTTTCTTTCCCAAACCTGAAAATTTTAGGGGGGCGGGTCTTTCCCTTCAATTCCTAAACTTCATAAATATAGTTCTTCCTACCAACGTACTAACTTAACTCTCTAACAGGGGTCCACGGTCATTTTCATTTTTCACTTACTTTACTCTAGATTTGCACGATAAATACTCCTATATAAATACCTCCACAAGTTGCTGCGAGGAGGACTGAACCCCTCCCTGACCCCTCTCTGGACGTGGAGTAAATAAGAAATAGAGTTTTCGAGCACGATATTTTTTTACCTCCTCGAGTGGGTGTATCCCTCCTCCCCAATTTCCTGTCCCCCATATCTTCATAGTTGTGAAATTTCATACTGTTATGAAATTATATTATGCATCGTATGTATCAAAAAGACTTCTTAGAACCGTAATTCTTCTTAAAGAATGGCTTAATTATTTTCAATTCAGTAAAGTTACTTTACTTTATGTTTACGCCCGAACTAACGCCTACCCATGAGTAGACGTAAAATTTTGGCCTACCTTTAGTCCGATGGAAAGATACCTATTTAATGAAACGCAAATCATTGTGTCAGTCCCGACTTTATGCCGGCGTAGCGCTACGACTGGGCGTACGACCTTTGATGGAAACCATCCCCCCCCCACCCCCACCCCCCCCCCCCCCCCCCGGTCTCCAAAGACTACATAAAGGTTGCCAATGTGTAGAATCAGAGTGATATTTAACGAAGTAATTTTCTTGATGACCAATCACAAGATACAGAAAATTCCGAGTTTCATTTTTATTGAAAAAAAAACAACAGTTGTCTATATTATCAAAAAGCCTGGTTTTAAATTTATCTTGAGGAATGGTTGTATAAAGTGTAGAAGAGTCATATATTCTGTTGCTATTGACTTTAGAAAAATGGTGACTTACAATTTTTTAAAAGTTCCTTGGAGTTTTTGAGATTCCAGTCTGATTTGCACCAATTCTAGAATATGCTGTGGCACAGTACGTCTGAAGTTTCTCCTTTACAGCAGCTAATGTTTTTGTAAAGAGTAGAGGTAGGGCTTGGTAGCGCATTGCTGAACCGGGCAATGTATCTTTGTTTGTAAAAATTTTTTATGAAGTTTAGGAATCCAATATAAGTATGCTAGATTGAACTCACTTGGTTGACTTGAATATTGAAAATTTATCACTGTTTCGAATTTTAACCCTGAACATTGACGCTTCAGGTTGTCAAAGCCTTGATGGAAAATTATTCAAATCAATATATTTTTGTGTCGATTTTCTAATCTCCCTGATAAGTTTGTTCAACAGTTGGAAATCTTATCCATCTTTAAAAGGCTTTTAAATGAAAGTAAATGTTTAAATCTAGTGAGGACACGAGTAGCTCAGGGTATGGCAAAGGTATGTTTTAAGCAGGCATATAATTATGAAAAATAAATTTAATAAAACCTCTCGAATACTTCAAAGGAATTTCAAAAGAACTTTCCTATCCAAGATTTTTTGTGTTGAATCGACCGTACACTTTTGCTCACTAACTAGATTTTTTTAAATCAAGGTCGATATCATTTTTTTACCTTAAGGGGACAGAAAATACAACGGGCTGTCTAAAAGTCTCATGCAATTAAAGTAAGATCGAGATGAAAATACATCGGGCCGTCTAAAAATCTCATCCAACTACGATAATATCGAGATACCCCGGAAGGATCGAAGATCGGGAGGATAATAATTTTGTCCAGTATGTAACAGTATAAAGGCGTGTATGAGCACTTTATGCTGTTATGATGTTCGAGCATATGTTTGTAACTTTGAAAAGCAGAAAATATGATCGAAAGAACCTTAGCTATTGAACAAAGTGAAATGGGCTTATTGCATGTATTTGATATATACCCATGA